TATTCATATCATATAAAATATTAAAAATTTATGTATTTATATTATATTTTATATAAAAATTTTATATCACAAATTGTATTAATACGAAGATATAAAATAATTTTTATTTTATTAAATATATTTAAAATTTTTATTAAAATTTTAAATCATATTATTTTTATATTTTTTATTTATATTATTTTCATATGATATTTGAATTTATCAAATTTAAAAAATACATTATACACCTTTATTTGATTTAAATATTTTATTTTTAAAGACTAAATTTATATATCATTTAAACTTCTTACATGTTATCACTTTGAAATGAAATATTCTCCTTTAAAAAAAATGACAAATCCTCCCTCTAACATATGTTTTCTCTCTCCAAATCTTTCTAAAAAGATATTCAAAATTAAATAAAATAGTAAAAACGAAAACGGGAAACTATAGCTAATAATATATAATAAAAAATTAGTGGCCTTGATAAGCATTCTGCCCCATTATTGAGGCTCTCTCTCTATATATAGAAAGGAGAGCGTTACAGGCTTCTCAATTCATACCCGTTCATCTCCTGTCTTCATTTTGCTTCCGTTTCTTTCTTGCATTATCTTTTCTCTTTAAAGTTGCCAGCTTTTTACTCTTTTCAGGTATATATCTCTGCTTGCCCTGTTTCAGTGCTGTGTTTCCGAGGTTTCTTTGTCTCTATTTTCTTTTGTTTCTCAATGCTTCTTTTCATTACTTACGGCTTAAACTTTTCTGGGTTTGTTTTAAATTTCATGTTTATTTAGCCTCTGCCTCACATTTTTGGATTCTCTTCTCCCATGCTTTAAGGCTGAGGATTTTTGGGTTCATATTCTTTTAACATTTGTTCATTTTTTCCCTTTCTGTGTAAGTTTTAGGCAAATTAGCTGATTTTAGTAATAACTTTTATTGCTTTAAGATTTGCTTGTCAAGTCCCAAAAAAATTTGCTTTTCAAGATGTGGTTTTTTAACTTTGGAGGATTGCAGTGATTTGTTTCCTGTACTTCTATTATAAATTAGGACTCCTTTCCAACTTTTTTTTTTTTTTAAAGTTGTATGGATGATAATATAAAATTCTTTAGCTAATTTTTTTTACTAGCTAAAGTAATACATAGAAACATGAAAGCTTGAATATATTGTAAGTTGTATTAGTTTTCTTTCCCTTTTCTTTTTGGGGTATTACTGTTTTTAAGATTTCGTTCATAAACTTATTTTTGCTTGATTTTCCCCTAAAAGTGAAGATCTTTACTCTTTTAAGATTGTAAAATTGTTGTAGCATTCTCAACTTGTTATTTTCTTTTTGATCTTTGTTTTGTAGCATTAATTTGGTGCTTTGTTTGCATCCCGCTTTTGCTTCTTCAAAATTCAAGCATAAATTGTAACTAACGGATGTTCATAATTGAGCATATGCAGAATGGGAAGTGCTGATGGGACCAACTATGGTGCTTACACCTATGCTGCCCTGGAGAGGGAGCCCTACTGGCCGTCTGAGAAACTCCGAATTTCTATCACAGGCGCAGGTGGGTTCATTGCTTCCCACATTGCTCGACGTTTGAAGAGTGAAGGCCATTACATCATTGCTTCTGACTGGAAGAAGAATGAGCACATGACAGAAGATATGTTTTGTCATGAATTCCATCTTGTTGATCTTCGAGTCATGGACAATTGCTTGAAGGTTACCAAAGGAGTGGATCATGTTTTCAACCTTGCTGCCGATATGGGTGGGATGGGTTTCATTCAGTCCAACCACTCTGTCATTATGTACAACAACACAATGATCAGTTTCAACATGCTCGAGGCTGCTAGGATCAGTGGAGTTAAGAGGTTTGTTGGATTGTTGCATTATATGTTTTTGCCTTTTATTCATTGCAATTCTGCTTAAGTTTACAGTAGGTTTAAACTTGATATCTTGGTTTGTTTAGGTTGTTCTATGCCTCCAGTGCTTGTATCTATCCTGAATTTAAGCAGTTGGACACTAATGTGAGCTTGAAAGAGTCTGATGCCTGGCCTGCTGAGGTTTGTGACTTTTATTCATTAACTACTATCCAGTAATCTTATGCTTGATTAGTTAATGTGATATAATTACTGATTTTCATATTTTAAACATGGGTTTTAGCCTCAAGATGCTTATGGCTTGGAGAAGCTTGCAACAGAGGAGTTGTGCAAGCACTACACCAAAGACTTTGGAATTGAGTGTCGCATTGGACGGTTCCACAACATTTATGGCCCTTTTGGAACATGGAAAGGTAAACTCTTACTTTTGGTGAGTGCTTATGTATTTTGTTGCGTTTTTTGAAACATACTAATTTTGTCGCTTCCATGTATCTGTCTTACAGGTGGAAGAGAGAAGGCTCCAGCTGCCTTTTGCCGAAAGGCTATTACTTCCACTGACAAGTTTGAGATGTGGGGAGATGGGCTTCAAACAAGATCTTTCACCTTCATTGATGAATGCGTAGAAGGTGTACTTAGGTAAAATTTGGCAATTTTCAAAGCTCCTCCAGCAAAAACTCATATTTTAGGCAACAAATTTAGAGGGAAAACCCAAAGGGTTTGGTTATAATAAATGATAATGTGCATGGATTTAGCTTATAATATTAATGTAAATGAGAAAGGAATTGAATAGGCATGATTGATCTTGTTTCTGTAGTTTGCTACCTTAGTTGAGTACACAATTTAAATATCACCACAAACCTTTAACTTTTGATATTTGCCTGCTATGAACCATTGCAGTACTTAAATGCAGTTAGAAGAAAAGTGGTTTCCACTTTTTAGCATTTAGTTGGAGATAGATATAATTATTAAAGGAAGGGCAAATTTCTTGTAGTATCAAACATATTAGAAAATTGTTTGGAAAGAAGTTTTCTATCTCCTGAACCAATATTTGTTGTCTCGTTTGTATAATGTGTTTTTAGCCATTTGGAAAGTTATGATTTTGGTGATTAGAATTTATTTGTGTACTGTTTTTATGTTGTAGATGAAAAACTTATAGATGTGTTTTGGCATTTACTAGCTGGTTGAGTTCAGTTTGAGGTTGCTATTCTCTTTTTGAAGGTGAAAATACTCTTCTTCTTAGTGGTCAACCTCTTTTTTTTTTATATATATCTTAATGTCTTCAGATTGACGAAGTCAGATTTCCGTGAGCCTGTGAACATTGGAAGTGATGAGATGGTTAGCATGAATGAAATGGCGCAGATTGTTCTTAGCTTTGAGGATAAAAAGCTTCCAATCCATCATATACCTGGTCCAGAGGGTGTCCGTGGTCGTAATTCAGACAATACATTGATCAAAGAAAAACTTGGTTGGGCTCCTACAATGAGGTTGAAGGTAACTAAATTATGTTATCGCACATGATTTTCCTAGTTTAAAGATTTCTCATGACCTCCCTCTTTGGCAAATGGTGTGGTTGCTTTGCCAGTAAAGATAATCAACAGAATATGTTCAGTAAAGTAGAAAAGTCCCAAGTCATCCCTTTCACTGGTTATTGCCTAGTTTCTATCAAGTGCCTCTTTTCCTTATGGAGCATCTGATTTTGCTGTTTTGTAGGATGGGCTGAGAATTACATACTTCTGGATTAAGGAACAAATCGAGAAAGAGAAGGCTCAAGGCATTGACCTGTCTATTTATGGGTCATCTAAGGTGGTAGGAACTCAAGCACCGGTTCAACTGGGCTCACTTCGTGCTGCTGATGGCAAAGAATGAACTCGTAGAGCTTGTGTAGTTGCTTTGAAGCCAAGTTTTATTATGGTATAGCTATGCTAATGGCATTGCATAGGAATGCATCAATGAATGTCAGGTTGACTATTTATTTTTGGTATTTAGTTTGTTCACTATGATTTAGTTTTAAGGGGGAGCTTTTATGCTCCCGCTGTATCCAAAATAGCTTTCCATGGTAGCCTGCTGTTGTAAGATGATATTTTAGGCATAATAGCCTTTAAATAATAAAATTCGTTTCTGGGTTTGAGCATTGATTCAGATTGACTTTGTTTAGCAGTCATTTATATGAACTCGCTGTGATTATGAAGCTGTCAACCGGGTTACGGTAGAAAACCATTGTTTCTTTAGCTATTTTTCATGGTTTATATGCATTCATTACTTAATCTTAATACAATGCAACCAGCTCTATGCAAATAAAGGGGAACAGACGGGGGTTAACTGGTGGTCCCTTACATGTTTCTTGCTGTGGATAACAATTTATAGAATATATAAACACTGATCTCCATCCTCCACGTTGAAGGAGCCCAAAACATCGTATTCACGTGAGGGATATTCCCTCATAATATTCTAAAGCACTTTTTTTTTTTTTTAATTTCTCTTTTCTGCTCTTTACTGCCGTTTGATCTCAAGTTAACTTTCTTCCCGACAAAGCTTGAGATTGCTATCCTCATTGTCATTCAAGAAAATATTTTAGGTATTTTTTTCAACCTTTATTGGTAATATCTGGGGCTGAATCTTTTTCTAATGATTTAATGTGTTTTAATTCTAGATGGTGACCAGCTGAAAGCTCTTCAAGTCATCAGAATCCGTGGTTCAAATAATGCTGAGGATAATAGCCGACGTGGCTTAATTGAAAGGGCTAAAGTTCAGATAAAAGTTAGGGAGGTCATCTGGTTTACGTGGTAGCATAGTGGCTTTAATGTAATCTAAAAGCCTTTTTCGTTTCAAGTGCTTTTCATTGAAAGGCAGAAAATGACAGAACATTCAGCAATTGCCAATAGGATTAACCGGCATGTGGTGATTCTTCTAATAGCCCTTTTTGGCTGTTGATAAGTAGTGTTGTGAATCAACCCAATCTCTGCTTTTCTTTTGCTGTCATAGCATCTCACCAGCACTTATCAGAGGCACTCCTAGTCTACTTTGCCGGTTAATTTGCACTAGTTTCTTACATTTATCCCCTGCCAATGACAAAAAAGTTGGTATGTTGAGCTGATAGATGATCAGTATCTTTAGGAACACTGTCATCAGTGTGAACTTTGCAATGAATTATTGAATAGATCTCAAGTCATCTTTACCACTTGATGACTTAACTCAAATTCTTTCAATGTAGAATTCTGCTCCATCGAATTGTTATTTGAATCCCCAAAGTGCAATATGCTAATACAAGGCGTTCTCTTACATATGTAGGCTTAAAAAAAGCACGAGTATCTAGTAATGGAAACAGTGAGGGGATTTGGGCAGTAGCAGTCATCATAAAAGTTGTGTGTGAATCAAAGACGTGACAAAGACCGAATCACCATGTGTACAATCTCTAATAGGTAGATAAATATAAACATAACAACCCGTGTAGAGAAGCAAATGCTGGATAAATATGAACAGGCTCAGACAACCGAAGAACCGGATTTGTAGTGCAGCCACTCCCTTAAGCGTCAAGGTTACAATAGATAGGATTGGCTTCAAGCTGCTCCGCAAACTTCTCGAGGATTTGTTTCACATATTCCCTAAATTCATCATCCACTTGTGCAGCATTTTCCTCACTCTCTACTTCAGAAAATACGGCATCATAGAGAAGAATTGCGGCTTCATTAGATTCAGCTGGTGGCAATCCCAAATCTTTTCCATGTTTCTCAAGGAAACTCCTGATTAGCTCTGTCTTCCCTAGCTCATCTTTTCCACTCTTCTTTTCCTGCAAGATCCTCTGTATGACATCATTGAATTGCTTCTCATCTTCCAAGAGCTGCAATGTTTAAAATGAAAACCATCAGAATTTACGTGTATGAAAACTTGATAATTCTTGCATAGGATCAGTGATATGGAAACCTAATTATTCACATTCTAAGATTTCCAAAATTGAATCCAAGTTTCTCTACTGATCTCTTTGTCCCTAAAGAACGGAGTTTTGTCACCATAGTTAGTGGTGAAGCCCTGTGGATCTAAAACCTCATTTTTTTAAAACTGGAGATAGTACAAAAGGTTAGTAATTGCATGTTGAAATTCAAAAGTAAATGTTTTTCATATTAGGGATACAATAAGAAGAAGACAAGATTAAGTTCAAGGTCTACCTTTCTTAGCTTAGAACCATTGACAACCTTGATGTTCTGGATGATAACAACATGTTTCTCAGTCAATGCATCTGCTGTTTCCTGCAGAATAGGCTGAAGTAATTCAGCAAATTGTGCTTGGCCCAATTCTTCTTCGCCCTCAGCTCCGTGCTTTTTTAAGATTTCATTTAGCAGAGGAAATTCTGTTCAAAGAATAGTTAGTCTTGTCAATTTTTGCTGGAAATGAGCACAAATATCATAATATTTGACATCGGTGATCGATAAAATATTTTTAAGAACTGATTAAGAAGTGAGTAACTTTTATGCTGATCAGAAACCTATTCTTCTTCAGACTTAACATCATATGTTAACTTTTATTTCCAAAACCTCCATGAATTATACTGTTTGTTTCATCATAGAAACCACCAAACTCCATAAAAAAAAAAAAAGGCACTCCTTTTGCCAGGGAACAACCTAAGTGACTAAAAGCACCCCTGGTCAGCTGCCAGGTATCACTAATTTATGGGGCAGCTCTAAGATGGATGCATGCTTGCCACTGATTTACACACCAATATGCAGTCATTAATCATTCATTCCATTTAGGATGATGGTTTTTATAGTGTTTCACAGACACTAATCAATGCTGCAAAAGTAAAGGGAAACTTCATAATGCATACATATAAGAATAATGAAGAGAGTTTCTATAGACACTTGAGTCCATTATGGTGAACAAGCTGAATGACTAAAAGCACCTCTGATCTGCTGCCAGGTATCACTATTCGTTCAGCAGCTCCAGAATGGATAAATGCTTGCCACTGATTTACATAACACATATGCAACCATTCATTATTCTTTCCAGTTAGGGTGATGGTTTTTTTGTAGTGTTTCACCAAGGCTAATAATGCCACAAAAGTAAAAGGAAATATCATAATTACAGAAGCAATAACAGCTTCCAAAGCAATGGGAGAGAAGGACAAGAAGAAGCTCTCATGTCTCAACTTTTAGTCATAATGATGATGCTGGAGACCAAAACGTATGCTCAAACGAGTTAAATTCATGAATATAATGTATGAGTTATGCTGCATGAACACTTCACATAGTGCAAGAATTCCATTTTCCACATAGCATGCCATTCTTTTGTTTAAATTATGGTGTCAAACACGCCCTTTCAGATGACAAACAACCAGCACAAGTGGATGCAAGGAAAAGATAATGGCCTTATTCTCTTAATTTATCCCTTATCAGAAAAATCATTATTGGTTTAAATATGGGGATGTTTGATCCGTAAATGACTTTCACCAATTGCATTCAATTCGATCACATACGATCAAAGTTAACAATATTATAGTATAGAAGAACTACACAGCAAAAGAAATTTGAAATGAAGGGAGAAACCTGAAAAAGGAGGAATCCCCATTTCAACACCCATGTGAACAAGAGCATTCCTTATCTCACTTTTGCTTATCTTTCCTTTATCTTCTATATCCAAATCAGTAAACAAATTCTCTGCTAACATAGCATAATCATCTTCATCCTCCAAAAATAGCTTCAAAGTACTCCCATCCAATATTGACACCACTAGTGGATCATCTAAAACATATATCAACCAATTAAAATCAAAATAACCCAAGGCAAAAAAAAAAAAGAACCAAGGTCAAATTATCATATAATCATGCCAAAAAGTATAGCTTTTGATAAAACGGCACAAAGTCAAGGGGAAAAAACCAATCATAAAAAGTCAAAACGACCCAAAAGAAAAGAAAACCCAGATCATAAAATCACCCCAAAAAATCAAAACTTCTCTTGATAATCTCGATTATCAATTAGTCAAGCTGGCTTAATCCTCCTTTACCTTTCAACTCATCAGCAATAGCAAAGATGTAGTCAGAGAGAACCTTAGACGCTTTTTCTCCGGCGATCTCCTTTTGCCGGAAAGTAACGCCATCATCCACATCGCCAGCGATGACACGAGAAAAAGCCGAGGCTTTGATGTTTTGAGGCAATGAGAGTCCAAAGAGAGAGCTGGAGGCTTTGGAGTCAGCGATTTCGAGGAGTTCAGCTCCCGTGACGACACCGTCAAGTTGTGGTAAAAAGAGATTGAGTGATCGTAGAGGAGTTCCGTCAAGAACCGTTAAACCACCTTCAGACATTGTAAGAGAAAGAGAAAGTTGAGAGCTTCAGACAAGGTGAGAGATATTCTTGGTCTGTGTTTTTTAATTTATTTCATTTCTTTCAATTTTGTTTTCGGTTTTATAGTTTGAGTTCGGGATTTTGGCTTGGGGCTTGGTTTTTGCCTAAAATATCACAAATGCCATTTTTATTTTACATATTTAATTTATTAGATAGTGTTCTTCTTTTTATTATATAAAAACAATAAAATTTTAAAAATAAACTCTTCTATATTAATTGAACATTAATATTAGAAAAAAGATTAAAATTTTAATATAAGATTATATCGAAGTTAAATTTAGTTTTAATTCATCTACGTGCTAAGTTTTTTTTTTAAAATTATATTTATAATCAAGTATTATTTACTTATAATCAATTTTAAATAATTAATAATTACATCTTGATAATTAATTAATAAATTATAATTTAATTAAATAATTAAATTTACACGCAATAAGAACCTATGTGTTTAATTAGACATTAAAGCAAAGAAAAATGAAAAATTAGATAGTTCTACCATTTTTAAAATTTTTTTTCCCTTTCCTAACCACTAAAGTTAACTGTTCCTTTTCATATAAGTTATCACAAATGATTTTTTTTACAAAAAAAAGAAGCATAATTTGAATAAAAAATAAATTATAAATATTAAAATTTAAAATTTAGATATATTGAGTAACACCATTTAAAAGTATTTATATAAATTAATTTAATTAAATTTTAAATTTATAAATAATTATTTTCACTTGACGTGAAAAATGGCATTTTACATATTCTTAATAAAATGACATTAAAATCAATTTAATTTGATCGTACCATTCATTAGAAATGAAGGGAATTTTGCACATAACTTTTTTTTTGAGAAAATTTTGTACACAACGTGATATTTACATATGTTATTTAGACTTGATTTGGATTCAACATACGGGATTACGTTTTTTTTGAAAATTTGTGTAGATCGCACTGAGCTTCAGTTTGGATGTTTCAGCTATAGTGCGAAGATTTGCCTTTTCTCACTGGTTGTTTTGGGTCCAGTGATCTAATGATGGACTGTTTTTGTTTTGTTTTGTTTTTATTTTTTTTAAAATTTTTATTCTTTCAATTATATTGAAGAGATAAAAATATCTTTATAATTTAATTTATCTTTTATTTTAATTTTTTATTTAAAAAATATAACATAATTTTGTTAATTAATGTTATAAAAACATTATTTTTTAATTATTTTTATTCATAAAATTATTATTTATCATAAAAATAATTTAATAATTAATTAATTAATTATTTTATAAATATTTAATAATTTAAAATTTTTACTACATAAAATTTTTAAATTAATATTTTTAATAATTAATTTTATTATTATTATAATATTACCGTTGTGTTTATATTTAAATACTTATTTTCAAAATTAATTTTAATTTCATTGTTATAGTAATCAATCTCATTTTAATTAGTATTTTCAATCTCAACAGATTTAATTTCACAGTTTATCTAAATAGAACTTTAATTTTACTAATTTTTTTATAACATATATATTTTCTTAATTTGTTGCTTAAAAAAAAGAAGGACATAAACGTAAAATTTTATGCTTACTTTAATTTGTTGTAATTTAAAAAGGAAAGAAGGAAGGTGTCATGACGTGAGGAATGGGCTTTGGTAAGGATATACCAAGTCAATGGGTTTACGGGGTTTCAGGCATTGATTTTCTCACGGGAGTTTGAATATCTTTGGCCCCACGTTGGTGTGAAGTCCACTTCCACTTTTTAGGCCTTGAAGATTGCACACAAAAAATAAAAATAAATTAAAATTAAAATTAAAATTAAAATTATAATACCCTTTTAAGATATTTGAATTTACCAATTTTTCTTTTCATTTTGAATTACATTGAAATAATATAAACTTGCATTTTAAAAATAATGTATATTTGAACTAAGATCATTATATATAAAAATATCAATCACATCTCGACTTTGCAATTTGAAAATAAAAAATATTATAACTATTAAATTTTTATTTTAATTTATTGAATAATATCTTTTAAGAATGATCAAATAAATTAATTAAATTAAATTTCAAATTTACTTATTTTTGCAAAAAAGTAAAATAAGAAAATAAAATTTTTTTTAAAAATTTGAATAAAATAATATCTAAGTATAAAAGAACATACCAGCGGTTTTAAAATATATAACTTTAAACGCTGACTTTCAAAGATAATAAAGTATCTGATCTTATCCATTAACAAAAAGGTATGAAATAGAAGGTGTAAGTGGCCACGTTACGTTCGTGTAAACTATTGTTTTTAAAGTTTTATGTTCATGTAAACTAATAAGTAGGTACTAAGATACTTTTTTAGATTTATTTTTTAATATAAGAAATAGTGATTTTAAAATTTTTTTTTAGAAATAGTAATTTTAATTTTACATTTTTCAACTATTTTTTAATATTAACCTTATATGCATATACTATACGAGCAAAAAAAAAATTTAGAATATAAAATTTAATTTAATTGATTTATATAATTATTTATAAAAAATAGCATTTAAGAGGTTTTAAATTTGAATATTAATACTTATAATTTTTATACGTATAAAAAAAAATAAAAATTTAATTATTTGAATAAATTTTAAGAATAAAAAAATTATATTTATTTTAAAATGTAAGAGGAAAAAAAATAACTACACGTATTTTTCGGGAGAAGAAATAGGAAAAAGTGAATAGGTGGGTTTTAAAATCCAGAATTCTAGTTGAGGTAGTACTGTAAAAGGATCTGATTTATTCTACCGTTTCATGGCCGCCTCTATTGAATAGGGAGAATTTGAGAGAGACGAAGAAAACAGAGAAATAATGGCAACTCACGTCGGAAAAAGCCTGGAAATCAAGAAGGATAACTGGCCTCAAGATCTCGTCCTTTCAATCTTAGCTACCCTTCCTGCTAAGTCTTTGTTACGATTCAAATGCGTATCAAAGCATTGGCGATCAATGCTCATCAACCCTGATTTCGTCGAACAACACCTCGAAAACCAGCGGAAGAAAGATTACCCTCAGCTTGTATTTGCCTCTACAGGATCTAAAACCGACATAGTTTTGGAATCCGTGTCCATCGTCGATGTTAAAGTTGAAGGCCAAGAAGGAGGAGTGAAAACCAGGAAAAGTTTCGAACGAAGTTGTTTGAATATCTGTCATCTTCCACCAGATGTTTGTTACATGACGAATTCTTGTGATGGGATTCTTTGCTTCTATGGGAAAACTAATGTCTTTGTTTACAATCCTGGAACTAGAGAGTTTCGGATTCTTCAGATTGGAAAGGTGGAATCCTCCCTTGCTACTTCCTACTCATTTGATTGCTTTGGTACGTTTTTTTTTTCCAGTTTTTATGTTCAGATAGAATGGAATAAAATTAAAAAAAAAAAAAGATTCTGCCTTGGAATAGAGAATTCACTATGATTTGATTTAGATAGTTGGAAGAGATAAATTAGAAGGATTCGGGTGATCTTAGAGAGAAAAAGAATTCAAAATTTTGTGTGTCTATTCAAGGAAGAATTTAAATAAAGAATTATGGCATCCATGAATAGTACTCTCAAAGATTGATAAATAATTTTTTTTTTCTTTGAACATTCTTTTCGTCGATTAAATTTATTATAATTTTTATATATGTTATAAATGAATATCGTCAGAAAAATTCTGAATCAAACACTATTTTTATTTATCATTATTAACATGTAGCTTAGCTCACAAAAGACCTATGTTCTCAAGTAATCTCTTTTTACAATCTTACATGATAGTTTGACATGATTTGAAAATAGCATTTTCAATATGGTATTTGAGCCTCTTTTGAGAGGTCTATTTTTTACTTAATTCATACAAAGATGTGATACTGAATTGAAACTACTTTTAAATCATCAATAAACAATATGATGATTAAGTTGATTTTTACAAGGAACACTTTCTTAGGCAACAATTTTCTTAATATCCTAGCTAGAAAGCTCTTGTTTTGCCATTTGCTCGAACATTCAGCCTCTCGTATGCATTCAAATATTATCAAATTAAGGGTAATTCAATGTACAAAAGTTGTGTCACCTAATAAATTAGCTTTGGTTTTGATAATCCATTGTGAACAGGTATGTTTGTTTTATAGAGATAATATATGCCTTTAATTTTAGAGACAAAGGATTGTGTATGGTTCTTTTAATAATTTGTTTTACCTTTGGAAAAACATCATTGTTATTTTTTCAAAGAATTTTGAAATTTGATTTCTAATTTGGCGTGGCTTATTTTTTATTTTAAATTGATTATGTTGATATATAGTATGTTATTTGCTTTCTAGCCCTTTTACATGCACTAAAAGAAAACTTATTTTGATATCTTCTTTGCAGGACAATTATTTTGTAGGTATCACTTATTAGGGTTAGGTCGTGATCAAGTTACAAAAGAATGCAAAATTATACGATTGTTTAGATCTAAAGGAGAACATGAAAATCATAATCATGAGTGCGAGGTTTTTACATTAAATTCAGATGTTGGGGCTTCGTGGAGAGGCATTGGTGAAGTTGCTTACTTCATTAGGCCTGCACAACAGCCTGCTTATGTCAATGGAGCACTTCACTGGATCCTTGACGATAGACATGCTAACCCTTCTGAGGTGATCATCTCTTTCGATCTCCATACCGAGAAATTCAAGGCAATATCGCATCCAAGTTGTTGCATTGAAGCCTCTTTAGATCAATATAAGCGGCATTTTATGGGGTTATTGTCTTTGAGAAACTCTTTGTGTCTAATATTACCAGAATCAAGCTTGCAGCTGCAGCTGAATATATGGATAATGAATCAAAGCAATGGAATTTGGGAGAAGCTGTTTTGTATTGATTGGGAATTGATGAATTATAAAATTCCATTGGCATTTCCAATAACAGAACTCAAAGATGGAACCTTTTTTGTTTGCCATTGTGGAGATAACTTGCAAATCTATTATCCAGAGAGTAAAAGTTTTAGTGAAGTACTCCTACGACATGAAAGAGTGGTTATGCCCTCTGCATATTTTGAAAGTTTAGTTTCTTTTTATGGAGAGCCATTGGTGAATTAATCAAGCTGTAATAGTAAAGATATATTATTTTTTTATTAATTTTCTTTTTCGTAATTTGTAGTAAATGTGGATAGGATGTTTCTACCAAATTTTAGTAGTTTTTTTATTTCTTTTTCACTTCTTTGGACAGGAAATTAATGATCTATTGAATGCTTCCATGGCTCCACACCTACAAGCTCCTCCATCAAGAGCACTTGCTTCATCACCATTAACACAACCACTTTAGCCACCATTAGTGTCACTTACCGCATCTTACTTTCACCTTCCATCATTTTCCAACTCACTTCCTTCACCAAGAAAAGCTCGAAGAAATTCTTCTGTAACTCACCCCTCTGCCAAAAACACTTGCTCTACCAGCTTCGAGGAATTTTGTTTTTAAATTCTAAATCCACTGGTATTCCATTATGCACTTAACATCTGTTTGGTAGGATTAATCCTAGCCATTGAAAAGTTAGGTCAATATTAATCTTAACCATTTAAATGTTAGGTGGTATACTATCAGAAAAATAGCTCTTATCGATAGAATTTTTCATCGGTAATAACATGATTTCCATCGGTAATAGTATTATCGAAGAAAACTTTTGTTGGTGCTAGATAAATCGGTAATAGCATTCTATCGATAATAGATAAAATCCATTGGTAATTACCGATGAAATTTATTGATGAAATTTTTCATTGGAAATAACATGATTTCTGTCGATAATAGTATCACCAACGGAATTTACTGATGAAAATTTTTATCAATGCTAGACAAATCGGTGATAATTTTTTGTCAATAATAGGTAAAATCCGTTGGTAATTATCAACAAAATTTTTCATTAGTAATAATTCAATCGATAATTTGATCGGTAATCTGTCGATAAAATTTCGTTGGCATTTTATTGGTAATCTGTTGGTATTCCATCGATAATAGCATTAATTCCATTAATAATTGAAATTTCGTTGGTAAAATCCATTGGTAAAATTATAATTTCATCAATAATTTGATAATCCCATCTATAATTATTTAAGAAATCTATAAATTACAAGTAAAACATATGTAATTATTTAAATTTCTATTATTATTAATTGAAAATGCAAATCCACATTATAAATTTAAAAACAATCCAAATTATCCATAACATCCCTAACGTCCATAAAATATCCACAAAACATCCATAACATCCATAAAATATATTATATAAACCCTGAAAAAATGTCATTGTGCTACTGCATCTCATGATCTATAATCTTTGTCAACAGGTCTAGAAAATTGAATTGAAGGAAATTGTTTAGACTTTATCAACTACATCATCTAATCCCTGAAAGACCTTAGCTTTGTCTTTGGCTTGGTTTTCAACTCAACCCTCAAGTCATCAATTTATTCTTGTATTTGAGGTTGGGGAGGATAAGGAGGCATAGATGACAGACCACAAATGGAGTGAGACTTTCCTACTATAGTAGTGGATTGACTTGAGTAAATGAGGTTCTTAGATCTATTTGTAGATCCAAAATCAAATACATGAGTGTGCGTAACTTCAACCTCTTCAATAACTTCAGTCCATCCTTATGAATTAAAGTCTAGATGATTGAAAGAGTTTTGATTATATTTATGAGATAATGCAGTAGCATAATTTTTCTACAAAAAGTTTAAAGCAATTATCATTACATTTTGCCTATATATTCACTAAAATAAGACAACTTCAAACAATTCATAATGTCGAGATTTGATTATTACATGTGCAATACTTTTCATCTTTCACATATGTGATCTCATCTCAATACACACAAAACACTATATAGTTTACTAGTAAATTCGTACAATGTTTAGGCTTTTAATTATTAAACTATCTACTTCATAAACAATCACAATATACAATCAGAATTATAAGGCAAAATACACAATAGTTTTTCACTTTTCATAAATGTGATTATCTCATTACGTTCAAAATACTATCTAGTTCAATACTAAAATTTTCAATTATTATATTATCTATTTCATTAATCACAATACATAACCAGAATCAAAATGCCAAATATGCAATATTTTTCATATTTCACAAATGTGATCTCATCATAAAATTCTATTCAAATAATTCATCAACAATCACAATACACAACTAGAATCATAATGTAAAATATGCAATATTTTTCACATTTCACAAATGTGATCTTGTCGTAATGTATTATAAAGATAGTTCAACAACAATCATAATACATAACCAAAATCATAAAGCAAGTTACGCAACAATTTTCACGCTTCACAAAGTCTTTGCATATTAAAACACATAAGATATTATCTATTTTAATAAAATAAGGCAATAATTTGAAAGTATTCACAAAGTCATTTGAAAGTTACATGCATTAACAATTTTGGACAACTTGTCAACAAAATCACTACATCTTTCTGAACATATGTGAGTACAATTGAAAACTTTTTTAAATGTAGGTTCTTGTTATAACTTAAGTGATTGTATTTGTTTAGAGACATTCAATAAAATATGTAACAATGTAATTTATATAAAATTGACATTTGATGATAAAAATAATTCATGAAAAAAGATCGTACCATTTATTTTTTTATGAACAGAAATGCAATGTGCTTCGTAATACTTCTTTTTGTATTCGTTGATTTTATTTGGCTTTAGCAGAGATCTTTTGCCATTTGGGAGTGCTTCATAAATTTTCAATAACAGCATCTCAAATTAGAGTTGTGATCTACCTCCGTTCCATCCTTTCGCAGTATATGGTGTTATCAACTTTATGTTATTTTATTGCCAATTTCCCTCTTGTAGGATAATATGTCTTTTAATCAATTCTTTGAAATATTGTTCCATGCTTGTTGAATAAGAATAACATTTGACTCAGTCCACCGACATTTTTTCTAACATAATAAGTAGGAATACAATAAGTCGTTGATAAGAATTTAAATGTTTCATTCAAATCAAATAAAAATTTATAAAAAATCCATTTATTACCTTAAAATTTTCAAATATCATAGACTTAACTAGCGTAGGAACTTTATCCTATGTTGGTCAAGGACCAATAAATTCCATTGAATTATTATTGAAATTATTAAGCTAATCAATGATTGCTTAAAATAATTACCAACATCCACTTGTTAGTAATATTAGCTAAACTGTATATATTCTTTAACAAACAAACAATAATAAGAAAAAATTAATAGTAAAAAGTTTGTCAAACCTTTTTCTTAGCGACGTAATCTACACCCGCTTGTTTGGATTTGTAAGAGTCGGTAATCCTTTGTTTGCCTCCTAGTCTTTTGCCTTATTGTCATCCTTTATTCTTTTTCAAGTGGTGGACCGTCAGCAAATCTTGGATTGGCATCATGCTTTGTTGGTGGTTCATCCATCATCGGTGTTGAAGGTGACCAATATGATGGATCATACTATATCTATGTTAAAGATGACTTGTATGGTGGATCATGTTGTATCAATTTTCATTATGACCCGCAATGTGAATTACCTTTCATCAATTCTACCCTAAAACCTCTTTGATGAACAACACTTTTTGCATGACATCTCATCCTAATTGTCATAGAGAACAAAAACATTCATAAGCATTCTAAAAACACAAAAAAAAAAAAAATCATCATCGGGTACTATGGAACACTTCTTGAGACTATCCCCAGTAGGATAGTTGCCCAGCACTGGCCTACACTAGTTAAAATGTCATATAGCTATGTAATTATATATAATCTTAGTGTTATTATTATTAATTTTTTCATCTTCCTTGAGCAAAAAAATTAGTCAGGTAAATTTTATACCTGCAGTTGGAGTGATGCAAACCAGGCCAGTGATCATTCCCTGTATGGCACCAAGCACAGATGGCTTCCAAAAGAAAAAAATGTTTAAGGAGGATTCATGCCAATAGGCTAGTTGCTATGCACACATGAGTGTTAAAGAAGGTTGGAGCTTAAATAGAGCTCCACCATTGAATCCAATTCACCCCACCCAGATTAAATCTGCTCCTGCAAGCATCAAAATTATATTGTTTGGAGGGTAATTGTGCCTGTTCTTCTCTGCTTTAGGGCCAACCTGAAAGAAACCAACAACTATGTAGACATCAAATTTGTTCGACAAAAAAAATAATATTATTAAATACAAAATACAAAAAAATTACAAAAAAAAATAGAATAGATGGCAGTGGTGCCTTCCCCGGCACCACTACCACCATACCTTACCACCTATCCCCCCTTACCTTACTATCCATACCTTATCCACTACCCTCACTGTCAAATAAGATAAAAACAAATAAAGGCAGCATGGGGCTCGTGCTTGCACCCCATGTTGAGCTTTATACCATTCACTACTAGAGCTCTATAAATAGAGCTCCTGGTCGAACAAGAAAAAAAAAGAAAGAAAACAAGAAGAAGGAAAAGAACCCTATAAAAATAAAAAAATAAAAAATAACACAGTCCTCGTCGTTCAACGAGGAACCCCAGCGCTTAGAGCTTTCCTGCAACAAAAAAATAGAGAGGTCAGTGCGGGTTTTAAAAAAAAAGAAAAATAAAAAACTCAGAAAACTTCAAACCTCGATCTACGTCAATCGAAGCTTTTTCTCCCAAAAAGGATAATGGATCTAAACTTAAGAGGTCGAGAGGAGTATTTTGAAGAATTTCGATAATTTTTCAATCACCGACGATCACCGGCAATGACCATCACTGGCGACCCGAAGGTGACAGATACGGCGATCCGACGATCGGATGGCGAGGAAGCTCTAGAACTTTCCCCCATTTTTTTTTGAAATAGAAAAAAAATGAACACAATTTTTTTTCAGTTATAGATAAAAGACCAATAGCCAAAACAATGCCGTTTCAATAAACGTCCAAAACGACGTCGTTTTAAGCACCCAGGATCCACGCGTCAACTGTGACCCTACCCGAGGTTTGTGCACCTAACTCGCGATCCGCTTCCTTCATCAGCCTCTGACCGATCTGACTGAACCGGAACCGAACCGCTGAACCCAACCTGGATCGAAATTGAATCGCTGAACATGACCGAACTGCTAACGCCAAACCGAACCGTCAGACTGAACCACACACTGATCGAATCGTTGATCGGTGCGGTTTAGGTAAAAAAATTTTTTTTTTAATTTTTTTAAT